CAGAATAAAATAATATTTTTACAACTTTCAAGATTGTTAGTCTATTCAGAAACATTAGGTCAGTTTCAATTTTGCTTCCATTTACAAAATTGAACCAAATTAGAAATTGCCCCTTTTCAATCCTTAAAAAAAATATGATGACACTCAAATTACTGGATTGAAAATCTTAAAATGAGTCATCCATTTATAAAAGAAACAGTCGCCGAAGAAAAATGCTGAACTTGAGTGTGAATTTCAGCACTGAGAAATAGTCATAAACATATCCTAGGCCATCGTAGTGAACCGTAGTGTTATTCTTTTTCTTTTAAGACAAAAGATGATGTGATGGGCCAGGGATTTAGCTCAGTAGTTCTGCCGCCTGCTTTGCAAGTGCCAGATCCTGCGTTCAATCCCTGGTAGCAAATGGGGGGAAAAAAAACAGAAGATGATAATGTATGAGTTGTTTTTTTTCTAAATTAAAACTTCAGTATTCAGGTCTAATTGCAGTGTTGGCACGTTGTGATAAGTAAGTGGGTTTGGGGTTGTAGTTTGGGCACTTGTCTCTAAAGGTTTTTTGTCACTCTGTGGTGGTACTGACTGTTGGATTCATAACTTCTACTAGATCTGGTTAGTGGGGATGGGTGCCAGGAGGAACTCTTCTCGGGATCACATATTACCACATTTATTTCCTATCCTCACATACTGGTTTGCCGGCTCATGGAAATATCTGTGTAAATTTGATTCAGCATCGCACCTAACCCCGAATCTTTCCTTATTTCTGCATCCTTGGCGTGCTCTGTCCTCCAGTTCCTTAAGAAACAGATTTGCAGTCATCTCTCCCATTTGCAAATCTGATCTTGTTCTTCTCTTACTCAAGGTTTAGGGATGGCTAGCCATCACGGTGAATAAAATCAAATCTACTTCACATTGCCTGAAGAGGAGGCTGTAAGGACCTGGCCCTGATTTAGGTTGCCTTCGTCCCCTGCTCTTTCCTGTCTTCTGACCTTCTGAGTTCTGTATAGTCAACTCATGTGCCGTGGCCCCTGGCATTTTCCCCAGTGTTGCATTTCTACTAGACAAACCCTCATCCCTCGTAGTCAATTTTCTTGTCTCCTTTGAAACACTACCTTGTCTGTAAAGCCTTCCTTAATCTCCAGACAGCTGGCAAAGCCTGTCTGCTAGACACCCACTGTTTTGGGTGTTATTTCTAATATCACAGTCTGTGTACTTTACAGATTGCTTGTGTTCCTCCTACTTGAAGATTAACTCTCTGAAAGCGGGAGCTGTGTTGCCATTTTAATAATCCCAAGCCTACTACAGTGCTCAGCATGGAATAGTTGCTCATTACATATTGATTGAATTAATTACCTTAGATGGTTTAGAAAATCATAAGAAAATACTTCTTCTAGAAATTATTTTATTTCAGTTGTAAACTAGAGTTCAGAGTTTAGCAAACTACAGCCCATTAGCCAAATCTCGCCTACCATCTGCCTTTGAAAATAAGACTTTGTTGAAATATGCCATGCTCATTTATTTAGAAATTACCTATGGCTACTTTTATGCCCCAAAGCACAGTTGAGTAGTTGTGACAGAGACCACATGGCCTATAAAGCTTAAAATATTTACTGTCTGGCTCTTGAGAGAAAAACAGTAGCCAACCACTGCCATAGATAGTTGGGTCCATTGCAGGTCATGTTTTTAAGGAACATAACTGTATCTTGACACTCCAAATAGCAGTTGGCCCCTTTTGATCGCTACATTTCTTATCTGAAACTCACAAATTCTTCTGGGACTTTTCATTTGGAAGAAAAAGTACAATTTACGAATAGCATAACTTGTGGTATCCTCGGCTTAGAGAATGTGAATGCCAAGCATAGATAAGGCCTGAGGCTTCAACTCTTAACTATTTTAACTTGGGCTTAGTCTAGTTATACCAAAGAAAGAAAAAAATTCAAAATATATCACCTCGGGGGAGAATTTCCTTTAGTGCACCAAGTGTACTCAATTTGCTGAGATTTGCTCACTCACTCTCTCTCCCGTACCGCTTTGCACACCATCTTTCCTGAGTCCTTGGCATCCATTAGTATGGCAGTGTCAGTGGATGTAAACTCAAGCATGTCAAGACCAACAGAAGCCCTCACTTCCTTTAGCCCTTGCTCATTGTGGCCCAGCCCCTCTATCTAAAGCTGCACATCCTTTTCCTCTACTCCCCCTGCTCTGATGTTGTTCCTCTCTAGCAGTCATCCATATTTAACATCTTAAACTTCTTCCTTACCTTACTCATTTTCTGTACCCCCTGAAGTATAATATCCCCATTTTTAAAGAAATAAATGAAATACCAGATAAAGAGGGGGAAATGTCAAAGAATTAGTGTAGTGCCCTTTAGTCTTTGCAGTGAACATCCTAGACAGGAAATTGCCACCAGTATGGAGTAGCAGTATCTTAACAGTGGCTGAGCCAGTCTTTTTGTCTCCCTTCTTTAAGGTGAGTGACTTCTTCAAAATGGTGAAGTTTTAAGAGATTCTCTAGGTGTCCCATTCATGAGAGGAAATCCCTACAGGTGTCTTTGTGGGCCAGCACCTCTCTGTCCCCGGATAAATTTTCTTGATTGCTGAAGAAGTCCATCTCTTCAAATCTGTGACGTTCTGGCTGGTTCCTATGGTTTGCAGTCTGAGGACACTCGTTTCAGAGGATGGTGAAAGGGTCTTCTTTAAGCCATCACTTTGTCACTGCCTGCACTGGGGGGGGCAACACTCTCATGCACTCTTACAGTTGTGGCAATCGTGGCTTTCACTCTGTGATGTAGACTATTCTTTATTTCCTTATTGAGTTTATTGGTACATTTCAGGTATACAGCACAGTTACATTCATCATTGGGATCTTGTACCTTTACATGACAGATCTTGGTTCTCATTTTTTCCCCTTGTCCCTGCCCTCCCTTCACCCCCTCCTCCCTTCCCCTTTACAAACACTTCATTTCCATTTTTTTCATTTTCTCATATTTTTTTCTTTTCCCTTATTAGATTTCCTCTACCCTTCCAACTTTCCTACACCTTTAGCCCCTTTCTTCCTATTTCACATTGTCCATTATATCATTAGGGTCTTGTATACTATTATAGTTTATTCACATCAAGAAACAATTCGATATTTACACATGTGTGACTTATTTATTTCACTTAGGAGTATATCCTCAATATGTATCCATTTTCCTATGAATGAATCTAATTTCTCATTCTTTATGGCTGAGTAGTATTCCATTTTATAGAAAAACCACATCTTCTTTATCCAGTTTCCAACGGATGGGCAAATGGGCTGTTTCCAAGTTTTAGCTATTGCAAACTGTGCCGCTATAAACACAGGTGCGCATATATCACTGTTGTTTGATTTTTTGATAGCAGCCATTCTTTGTGAGGTGAGGTAGAATCTCAGTGTTGTTTTCATCTGCATCTCTCGAATGACCAGTGATGTGGAACATTTTTTCATATATTTAATTGCTGCTTTTACTTCTTTGTCTGAGAAATGTCTGTTCATTTCAGATGACCATTTTTGAATTGGGTCTTTATATTTGGGGGAGGCTGATTGTTTTGAGTCCTTTATATATTCTAGATAAGAGTCCTTTGTCTGAGGAGCAGCTGGTAAAAATTTTTCCCACATTTTAGGTTGTCTGTTAGTTCTGTTGATGGTTTCTTTCGCAGTGCAGAAACTTTTTAATAAGATGAGATCCCTGTTGTTGATTCTTTCTGCTAGTTCCCGTGCTACTGAGGATTTGTTCATAAAGTCTTTTCCTATGCCAATGTCTTCAAGAGTTCTGCCTAACTTATCTGATGTAGACTATTTTAACATCACATGTGTCTATAAATATACATACTTACTGATCCCATACTTGTCGGGATTAACACAGCTCCTGAGAGTGCTCTAAATAGAAACTCAGGGTTAAAATTTTACCATGGACTTTAGTGCCATACATTCTCATCTTAAAGCTATATGATGTGAGGAAAATAACTTAACCTTCCCAAGACTCAGTTTCATCATCTATATTCGTATAATGATGCACTACTATAATATTAAGTATATATTTTGATTATTACGCTTTACTACATGCTAAAGTAAAAGGCAGCCTTCCTTATACCTATTCTTGGGTTCCACATCCACAGATTCAACTAACTATGGATCAAATATTTTCCAAAATAAAACATGCTTGCTTCTGTGCTAACCATATACAGAATTTTTCTTGTCATTATTCCAATATCATATAACAACTATTTACAGGTTGTTTCCATTACATTAGGAATTAAAAGCAGTCAGGGATGATTCAAAGTATACAGATGTAAATTCTCATACGTAAATACTGTCATTTTCAACAAAAGATTTAAACACCTTCATATTTTTATAACTGTGGGAGTCCTGGAACCAATCCAGTATGGACACAAGGGGAAAATGTATTAGCGTATATTATAACTAGTTAACATTACTATATATTATAATTATATCAGTGGATATAATTAATACATATATTATTTTAAATGATACTCATACTATTGAATATTATATAAGATAAGGTAAAAGGTTGGCTACTTCATCATGTCATTGGTTGGATTTACTATGAAGCTCCTGGCACAATTGCTGGTACATAGGAGGCTCTTGAACCCAATTTTCCCCCTCTCTCCAGTGTGCGTGATACTAACCAACACAGTTTTTCAGACTAAACATTCCTTATAGTTCCTTTGAAAGGGAGGTAATATGTAGGGTATTTTCAAAATCCTTCTATTTCGTTTTCTTTGGCCTATATATGCATCATCAGAGGAGATCTTGTGACCCAGTAGCTTCTTTAAACTTTGATTTTTGCAACTGGTTGGGAAAATTCATGGCAAATTGAGAGGATATGGTTTGGGGAATCAGGCGCCAGTTAAAGATCACAGAGGTGAATTGTGTTTGCCTTAGCTGCTAACTAAGAGAGAGGATGAAGTTTGTGAGAAGTAGGTGAACTGTGTAAAGGCTGATGTGTTTCCTTTGACCTGCAGGGTGATTTCACCTGGAACAGCATGTCGGGCCGCAGCGTGCGGCTGAGGTCAGTCCCCATCCAGAGTCTCTCGGAGCTGGAGCGGGCTCGGCTGCAGGAAGTGGCTTTTTATCAGTTGCAGCAGGACTGTGACCTGAGCTGTCAGATCACCATTCCCAAAGGTAAGGCTCTGTCTGCCTTTCTGCTGGGGAACGCTGCAAGTCAAACATCTGCTTTGCCAAAGCCACAAGCTGCAAACTCTTCTCACACTTACCATTAACACAGGAAGGAAACTCCAATTTTGGTTGTCGGCTGGCATTCATGTCCGTTTTGAAAGACATGTCCAAGCAGGACAGTGTGCATGTCAGCTAACACATTTGTTGAAATGTAAGGTCAATTTGCGGCATTCCAAAGGAAAGCAGTGGTCTTCACAACTTCACCAAAACCAACGAGACATGGCTTTCAGAACAGGCAACCCACAGGGCTGGAAGGAAAGCTGATTCTGTCTCAACTTGATTGCAAAGTCAACATGCAGAAAAAATGTTGTGCCACTGTGCCAGACTTGTCATTTGACCTTATGCAAACAGCACCAGGGATTGTATAGAGATGAGTTCTTTTGTCTCCAGACTTTTACTCTTGTGCCTAGGTTTTGTTTCACCACTCTGATCCTGGCTGAACTTTTGGCACAGCTCCTGATTCCTGTCTGTAAAATTTACTGTCATTTATGAAGACACTTTTAAAATTTGTATCCCTGTGTAGCTAATTTGAGGCAGAATGGAAAACTGTGATGTTATACAAACAGAGTATACTGGCCCATAAAAAGTAACATTGGCCAGCTGGCTTGAAACATAAAGGAAAGCAGGAGCATAGCAAGGTTTGAAAAGCTAGATGCTTCCTGAGTATTTATTTACTCATCAAGTAATCATAGACACATATGTGGACACAGAGACACATGTCTGCATCCACACACAGAGACACATATGTGTGCCTATATGTGCATATATGATATATACATAGATTTATGGTTCTTAACTGTGATGGTTTCACCTCCTATCCACAGGGGACAACTGTCTGACATTGGCTTGTTGCAGCTTGGGGAAAGGGTACTATTGGAATCTAATTGATAGGGCCAGGGGTGCTTCTAAACACTGTGCTATACACAGGATAGTCCACCAGACAAGAATTATCAAGCTCTTCAAGTACCTGTGTGCCAGGGTTGAAAAACCTTAGCTCCCTTATCTGTGCCTAAAGGAAAGATGCTGAGCACCAAACTTTGGGAACTCGTTTCATTACTGCACGCACAGGTAAGTTGCGCAGTTTGGCTCTGAAGTAGGACGCTTGGTTCTTTGACTAGGAGTCGAAAACGCTAAGTGCATTTGTTTGTTGGTGGTGAGTCTTAGGGCCATGGTTCACCCTATGCCTGGAATCTGAGAGTCTACTGGGGACCACAGTGGAGTTCAGAAGGGAGAGGTAGGGGAGGCCTAGGGAGTGGCAAGGCGTGCATGTCACTGACTGGTGCCTTACTCCTTTGGCTTTCTTTTCAGCTTCTTTTGCCACCACCACCACAGCCAGCTCCCTCAGACAGGAAATCCCCACCCCTGTTATAGCTTTTCACACTAATCTCCCACAGAGAGGCCCTCAGCACAGGCAAGAAGAGTCACTAAGGTAGTTGTAAAAACTGTCAGGCTGTGTTGCTGTTTCTTTCAAGGATGGACCCTCCTACCTCATCTGGTTTGGGTTTTATTGGAGGATAGAGATGAGGCCTGCCCTCCCCTCCCACTTAGCTCACAAGATGGTCCATGCACACCCAACCCCTCCAGCCAGACCTTTGTCCATCTAATCATGAGCATAGACATTCTTTACATTCATAAAAGATTAAAAGTATTAGCAGGGCATGGTGGTACACACCTGTATTCCCAGTTACTCAGAAGGCTGAGGCAGGAGGATAACAAGTTCAAAGCCGGCCTGAACAATTTAGTGAGGCACTGTTACAAAATCAAATAAGAAATGAGGATGTAGTTCAATCCCTAGTACTATAAAAGCAAAAAGAATTGTGGAAATTCAGCTCATAATTAAGGGAATGATGACTTTGAAAAGTTTTGAAACTTAGATTGAATCTACATCAGATAAGCCATCAGGGAACTTTGTAGCTTGGCTTTTAAATCCAGTTAATTTGATGTTTCACTTTGTCCCTACTTTTAAAGGCTCCATAAAATAACCTTTACTAAACAGATCATTTAATAGAACTTGTCTGCTGAAGGTTCTGTCTCCATTGCTTACCTCTGAAATTGTGTGGTTTCTCATACGTTTAGAGAAAAATTCATGCTACTGAGATGTTTGCAGATATTGTCAGGGCACAAAGGATATTTTCATACTTTCTATCAAAATGAAGATTAATGATTTACAAGGTAAATTGTCTCACGGAAGGGAGAAGGAATTGTAACTAACCCAAGTGTTTCTAAAGCTATTGTTCTGTTCAGAGGATTATAGACATGGAGTTACTGAGATCCTTTGAATGTGTGTCTAGTGCTAAGTGCTATGACAGCAGCTTTGGGATGGTTGTGGCCACTTGGTCCCCATGGAAACCCCCAAGTGGAGGTTCTAGAATAATAGCAGATTCACTGCATGAAAAATTTTCCCAGGAAAGTAAATGCAGCAATCGGAGCCTAGAACCTAAAGAATATCACACCTTGAAAGACGCTGGAAACAGTGCAAAGGGAAGTAGTCAAGCTCATCCCTTCATGATGCCCACATGGACTTATTTATGACTAGCTACTTGGAGAACCATCTACTTCTGTGAGACTGGGGCTTCTGGGGCTTAGATGAATGATATTACTGTACAGCATGGTTATCAGCTGCCAGGATTTACTAGAGAGCAGGAACAACTGAGGATGGGGCAGGGGAGTTACTGGGATGATTTCCTAGGATGGACCACAGGGACACCTGGGACAACAGAGAAGGGCTTGACCTTTGTTGGTGCCATAATCACAATTGGACATGAGTTATATGGACATAGATGCAAATGAGTTAGAAGCTGACGGAAGATCATGTGGAATTTCACTACAGATTGATTCTCTGCTTCCGGCAAAGCAGGAAGCAATTCCATGTACTGGGAGTGAGTACAGAGGTTGAGAAAAGACAAGGAGCAGACAAGAAGGCATCTAATGCACCAGCAATATTGCAGGATTACAGGCAGCCAAATGTCCGTTTGAGATTAGTAGCTGGAAATTTCAGATGCAAAATAAACATTGTGGCAGCTCAGCACTATTAAAACAGAACACATCATTTTTGTGTTTTACATTCCTTAGCTCTAGTTAATCAAAATCTCCTCTTATTAGGATTAGAGTTTTCTGGCTAAGTTTAGTGAAAGTAGAGAGGACATGACAATTAAGTGTGCCTGTGGTCTGCAGACTAACGCCCCTGCTAAAGATAGCAGGAGCCTGATCCCTGGAGCCTGTAAATGCTTTACCTAACACACCAGAAGGAACTGTGGTAATGTGATGAATTAAGGTCCTTGATATGAGATTATCCCAGATTGTTGGAGAGGGTCCAAGCTAATCATGCAGGTACATAGTTCAAAGTGGATAACTGTCCCAGCTGCAGTCAAAGAAGGATGTGATTATGGAAGTATACACAGAGAGATGCAGTGTTGTTGGCTTTGAAGATGGAAAAGGGGAGCCACAAGCCAAGGAATGAGGGTGGCCTCCAGAAGCTGGAAAAGTCAAAGGAATAGATTCTTTTCTAGAGAGTCCAACACGGAACAGAGTCCTGCTGACACCTTGGTTTTAATTGAGACCCATGTTAGACTTTTACCTTCAAAACTGTAAGATAATAATTTTGAGTTGTTTGCCATTAAATTTAAGGTCATTTGTTTCAGCAGTGATAGGCAACTAAGACAATATCCAAGAGCATTATAATTCCAGACCATGGGGTCTACATTGGATAATAAGAGAAGTTAGGAATAAACATAAAACACATGTTTTTCTCGAGTATGAATCAATAATATAAAGATTCAATTATGCCATCAGTTGTCTATAAACTGAATATGATTCTAAAATAAATGTACCAAAAGAATGTTTTTGGCTGGGGATTTAGCTCAATGGTTTCACTGCCTGCCTTGTAGGTGCAAGGACCAGAGTTCGATCCCCTGTTAAAAAAAAAAAAGAATGTTTTGAGTAATTTCACTAAATTAGTCTGAGTCTCATTTGAGCAGATAAGTATAGGAAAGTAGTCAGGGGAAATCTGATAAAGAAGTCTAGTAAAGATGATGATCCCTGTGTATTTTTTGAAATGTGCCATAAAACTAAAGCAATTAAAAAGATACTGTACTGTTGCAAAGCAGTGGGAGAAAAATCTAATTCCAAAATAAACATATACAATAAAGATATATAAGAATTGGTTACACAATACATATTCATTTTTGCTTATTGGGAAAATATGGATTATTTTTGTTTGAGGCAATGAGACAACCATTGGGGAGGAAAAACCGGATTCTGACCTTATTCCTTATATCATAATAGATTGGTTGGATGAAATATTTGAAGATAAAAAAATAAAACTATGAATGTATCAGAAGAAAACAGAACTGGATATTTATATTTTAGGAAAACACAACCCAGAAAACATAAAGACAAGAACAAATTTCACTATGTAAAAAATACTATCATCTGTGTGACAACTAAAAATTCATAGCACATTTGACAAACTAAATGCTATTTCCCTTACTATATAAGCTCTGTTCCAAATTAAAATGAGGAAGAAAAATCTAAAATATGGACAAATTACAAGCAGCTCACAGAAAAAGAAATTGAAAAAAAATGTATAAATATTTGAAAAGATTCTTACCCTCACAGCAATTAAAGAAATGAAAGCTAAACACAGGTACTTTTTACTCTCAGCATGCTATGGATCTAAAAGCTGGGTAATAAACTTGATGAGGAAATAGACAATCTCACGAACGCTTGATAGGAGTATGAGTCATCGCAACAACTTACGAACCAATTTGGCAACATCTCAATTTTAAATGGCCCAGTGACTCTAGGTCTAAATGCATATCTCACAGATATGCACTCATAGTATCAGCTGGCTGATCTCACTACTCAGTGCCTTAACACAAAAAGGTATCTTTTTATTTTATTTTTATTAGCACTTGTTTGTAGTACATAATGATTACATTTTTCAT